ATGCAGTCAGTCAGCTGTACACAAAGACTACGTCAGTGTGATATATACACTACGTCAGTATGATGCAGTCAGTCAGTAGTGGACAAACACTACGTCAGCACGATGTGCACGCTACATCGGTATGATGCACTCATCGGTTAAAGTTATAGCTGGCCAGCTGTTCAACCCTTCTAAGACCAGAAAGCAAAAACTTTTCAGGAAATGGAGAAAAAAAACTTTTTTTTAACAATTACACATACATTAAGACCAAAAAGCAAAACTTTTTAAGAGAAAGAGAAAAAAAATTATTTTTTTTAAAAACAATTTCACTTGCAACACCAGAAAGCAAAACTTTTCAGGAGAGAGAGAAAGAGAAAAAAAAGCTTTAAAAAACCACTTACACTTAAATCAAGTATCTTCCTGCTTTTTTCAACATTTCGAATCTGAATTTCAAAAAAAAAAATATTTCCCAAGCACATGCATCACGTACTTCACAATATAAAACTGCAATTTTTTTTAAAAACTTTTTTCATCAAAATGTTGGCCTTAGTACATGGTGAACAGCTGGCCCGTGTTAGGCCGAGTCAGTCAACGACAAAACGACAACAACATGATGAGGATGCTGCACTAGAAAGCATATAATAATTTCTCCTACACAATGCCACAAGTAACACATCTCCTGCCTCAGGCAGACACAAAATCTCGTACAGCACCATCACGTGCTGTCAGAAAAACTTTGCTTCGTGTAAATAAAAACCCATTTGAACTGTGACAAAAACTTTTCATTTTGTTAACACTCTCCTTGCGGAACGTACATATGCTACTATGTGTACAGGTGATTGAGTGTCTTGGACAGGTGGTCGTTAGAGTAGGTTCCACTATATATGTATACATGTGAGGTAGAGTGGTGAAATCGGGCACACTTCAAATTAATGAAATCAAAGAAATCTGCTTTTTTTTTTTCTTCAACCGTTGGCCATTTTTAAGTCTTTTTTGGGGGGGGGGGGGCTGAACACCTGTTATGTATATACAAATATTCACACACACACGAACACAGTCATTTGTCAACATGAGCATAACAGCAGGCCAAAAACAAGATGCTTTGTGGCGGGGGCGGTGGCAGGGGCGCAGCAAGAGGCAAATGCTGGAGGAGGGAGGGGGTGGGGGTGGGGGTCCGCAGACTGGGATAAGGTTCAATCCACTCCGTGGGTCCAACGTACGTCCACTAGCAGGCCACTAACTCTAAGAACGACCCAGCGGCCCACATCTCCGTCCACCTCCAAGCTGAAGGGCTGCTGGTTGGGGGCTACCATTGCGGCGGCGTGCGGGGGGTGTTGGCCGGCTGGTAAAGGCCACTTGCCTTCTGCAAAGGAAAAGAGGGCTCCCCCAGGGGGGAAAAGGGGGTAGTGGTGGTGGGACGGGGGCAGGGGCCGGGGGGGGGGGGGGCCGGCCGTCTCGGGGAAGGGGGCCTGGATGAGGTGTGTGATGCTGGGGTCTGCAAAGGCGGGCGGGGCTACGGAGAACGACATAAACACAACGTAAGAACGACACAAACACGACACTGTCAGAACGACATAAACACGAGACTGTCAGCCAGACACACAGAGGCAAAAAGTCTGCAGCACCCCAGAGTAACAAGGTTGTATCTCAGTTACACTCACTTTTGATATGGCAAAGCTTGTGCAACATTTTCAAATACTGTCCCTCCTCATAGACAGAGAATGAGAGGGAGGCCTAAAAGTTACTTGAAGGACGGATTTAAGATTCTGACCAAAAGGAGATGGGATACAGCTGGACAGAAGTGGAGATCTTAACCCAGGACAGAAGTAGTTAGAGAGCTCTTGTTGGTGGTCTTTACTCTGGTACAGGGGGAAAAAGGAAGACACCATCTCCTTAAGTGAAGAACAAAATAAATATGGTTTATATATTTTAAAAAATATAAGAAAAGGAGTTCTGACTTTTACGTATGATGTAGAAGGGGTAGGGGGGAATGCACAAGAAACTCCATCTCCTTACACAAAAAATTCTGAGATCAAATCTTGTTATTCTGGGCTGGCCAAGTAGTATCTAGGCCGTAATTACAAATTCAACTTTGTGTCTTTACATTGGACAGCCTCCAAACTCTTACCATAAAAACGCTGGGTTTTTTAAGAGTTTTTTTCCCCCCAGAGAGAGGGATAAGGTTTCACAAATTGAGCTTCACCAGCAAAAATCACCAGAACACCCTTTCGTGGATCCTGGAGAGGAGGGAGGAGCAGCTGTGGCATTGTGCCGCCTACAATGATGCCTGTTCTCCAACCAAGTTAAGTAACTATAGCAGCCCACTCTTCAACTTTCGGCGCACATATGACCTTATGCAGTTGTGAGCGCCGTAAAACCCCATACTGATCTAAACTCTTTTTTTTTTTATAGTAGAGGGTTTTACGGCGCTCGCAACTGCATAAAGTCATATGAGCGCCAAAACTCATCAACTTGAAAGGCTTTGGGAGCATTCACGGTCCTCCACCCATCTGATTTTTGTTTTCCCCAAAAAACAATATTTTAACAGGAGGATTCCTTTCTCTACTAACCACCAAGAGGGAAACAGGGATGTTACTACCATACTACATCAAACTCATCGGAGCCTAGCCTCCGTCTCTCAAATAACCACAAAGAGTCAAAAGAGGACGATACCAAAACGAGCTCAAAATGACGTTTACACCCGAACCAGTCACAGTAAGACACAAAGTATGACTTATAATTACGGCATCTTGACACAAAAATGGATCAAACCTTGCGACTGAAAAGCATTTTTTGCGAAAAAAAAAAAAAGTTAAATAGCGATGAAGCGCGAACAGCCCCCATCAGTTTGCAGTGTTCACTTACACAAAAAAAAAATATTTCCGTTTAGAAATGATTAGTGAAACTTCAAAGTGTACATCATTTTACCATCAGTGAGTGACAAAAACCACAAAAAAAAAGAAAAATCAGTGATGTGATGATAGATACTGGTGGTGCCCCGCAATGTTCTACTCACAATACACGACAAAGTGCAAAAAGTTAAGTCATTTTAGGCATACGAGTCAATCTCAGAAGGGCTTGGCGTACCTGAGTACATCAAAGGCTTTTCGTAGTTGACTGGAGCTATGGGGTCAGCTCGCTCTGATTGCAAAACAAGCAGTTGTAGCATGACATTTTCATATGATGGGGATTTTTATTTTTTAGATCCAGGAAGATAAAAGAAGATTGTAATCATAACTTGTAATCCTAACTTCTTTTCTTCACAAAAATTAAATGAAAATGGGAAAGAAATAAAATTATGAAAGACATCAACATGCTTACAAACAAACAAACAAACAAGAAATAGGTCTTAAAATCTTAAATAAAACAGAAAAAGAGAAAAATCAAGACAGTCCTTTCACATCTATATAACCTAAGCAGATGACTTTCCAATTTTAAGCGCATACACGTTCTTTTTCTCTTAAGGCGAGAAAAAAGTAAACGATGATGCACTCATGAATATATACAGTGTATGCAAATATATATATATATACGTATATATCTAAAGCTGAAGACACCAGCATAACTGATACAGCAAATGGCAGCATTAACACTCGAGGAAACATTCCAACATTCTCAGCCTCAGTAGCAGCAGCAGCAGCATTCCATACGATGTCCTGAATTATACAGCATCACAATCACACACAACATACGCTTACTGGATAGACATATGGAGTAAGTGAGAGAGAGAGAGAGAGAACTCCCACAGTCTGACATACGACTAGTCACATGACATGGGCCTGTAATATGCATTCACACAGAACGTAAGCTAAACAGATAGAAATGGGTAAAGAGAACTCTCAAAGCCTAACATACAGCTAGACACGACGACATAAGCCTATGACAAATGCATACATACAAAATCTACTCGCACAAACAATCACTCATTATTTGTAACTATACTACTGTAACTACACATACATTTAGAGGGGGGGGGGGGGGAATGGAGCACATTCACTACAACGGTCTGTAACTCTGACCATTCAAGCCCTTTCACGTGACCAATTCCAACCTGCAGGTAAGGCAGCGCACATTTCGACATCAAAACGTCATCAAACCGACACCCTCACACTACAGCCGAGTCTACATGAGGTCACAACTTATCAACTACTCTACTTGTCTACCACCACCACCACAGATATTACATCAAAGAGTTTGTCGAACAACGTGTCGAATTACATCGCTCACTGCTGCTCCAAAAATGGGCACAAAGAAATCAGGTGGATTGAGAAAACACAGATAATAATATACCTCAATGACAAATCATCAAGAGAATCAAGAAAAAGCATATCATATTTTAAAATTTTAAAAGATATAACAAGATTCGAAAAAAGAAGAAAAAAAAAAGACATCCGACGGAAAAGGGGGAAAAAAAACTACTCTGTGAAAACAATAAAACAAGAAAGTAAAGGTGTTTAACTCAATCTCTGCAACACTCAAATTGTTTTGGTACAAATGGACAGAAGACTGGGTACTGCCACTACCGAAACCTCTTGGTTTTGAATTTCCTATTTTTTATTTTTTTTAAATATTACCCGATGTGTTTCAGGGCTGGTCATCTGAGTCGATTGAGCATTGTTTGAGTTATTTCCCTTGAAAACTGAACAAAGATTTAATTTTTCTGGCAGGCATGAAACACATTTTGACATGATGGCAAATGAACCTAACGAAATTTTCTCAAATATGATTTTTTAGACAGGTACCAGAACTTCAGGCATTCTTCGGACCTCAAGCCATAAAGCACCTGCCAGCGAACGAGTTAAAATCCAATGTCCAGAGAGCATCACTATAGATATAGAATAAATAAGAGAAAAGAACATTTTTTTCAAACAAAAGAAACAAACCAAAAAAAATTAGAAAACAGCAAAAAAAAACACCAAAAAAAACCTAGGAGTCGCTATGGCCGTGGGACCCATCCATACCTGTTATGAGAGACAGACAAAAAAGGTCAGAGGTGAGAGGGGTCAAAGTTCGAAGTGTACCTGAGATCTGCAGCTGGGACATATCCGGGGGCGGGGGGAAGCGGTCGTCGTAGATGTTGCCCTTGGGGTGGACTGTGACGGCGTTACGAACACCGCCGACCGCGTCGATAAGCTGGGGAGGGGAGGGGAGGGTTTGTTTGTTTCATTGTTGGTTTATTTGAGTGAAGAGGGAAAGGCGTAGGAGGAAGGGAGGAGGGGGAGAAGGGAGGGGACAGGGAGGGAGGGAAGGGTGGAAGGGGTGGGGGGGAAAAGAGGGAGGTACGGAAGGGGGGGGGGGGAGAGAGAGAGAGAGAGAGAGAGAGAGAGAGAGAGAGAGAGAAAGAGAGAAAGAAACAGAAAGAGAGAGAGGGTAAGAGAGACAGAAGGACAGAGAGAGGTAGAGAGATGGAGAGAAAAATCACTACTTGAACCATATTGTGCTCATGTTCTTTATATTATTGCACAGCATTGAAAACTTTCCTGGTGAAATGTGAGTTAGAAACCCACCTCCTTGACTATCTAAATTGTCTGGATAGCGGGTGTAAAAACACCTTTATTACAGATTAACATGAGCAATTTCCTAGTGAAATGTGGGTTGCTTTTGCTTTAGTAAGAGTTTTACGGCACTTGCAACACAAAAAGGTCATATAAGTGTCGAAGATTAGAGGAGTTACAAGAGAGCAACAAACACAAAAAAAGGAGGAGAGGTTATAAGGACAATAGATGTTCAATAGGAAAGAAGAAGCAAGCCACACCACAGCACCCATCAACCACCCACTAAATGTGGGTTGGAAACCTGCCTCCTAGACTATCTGAAATGGGTGGATAGGGTGTAAAAACTACTGCAGTTCAAAACAAAAATAAAAACAACAAACAAATATGAACAAAAACAACAAACAAATAAAGAAAAACAAAAGCAACAAACAAACTAATAATAACAAAAACAACAAACACAAAAAAACACAAAAAAAACAAGAACAAATCCCAAAACAACAATCAAGGTCACACAACAGCTCCCCCCCCCCCACCCCAACCCCCGCCAGCAGCACTCACAGCCTGGTTGTTCTTCCTCCAGTTAGAGGCGGCCGCTGAGTCGGCTGGGTTCATGGCTACGGCCTTGGCCATCTGGACGTCTGGAGTGATCGCTGGAGGGGGAGGACGAAAAAAAGAAAAACTCAAAACACTCACTTTGAAGACACATGTAAAAGATATAACAAGATTCGAAAAAATAAGAAAAAAAATACATCTGAAGGAAAAGGGGAAAAAAACATGTAACGATGCTTTTTAAAAGAGTTCTGAAATGTAGACGTTTTTATACAGCATCCCAGCAGAAAGACTGAGATACACGATACTTCCCTTTACTTTTCCGATCCAGCAGCCATGTGAGATCTGAGATACAGAACAAAAATTATCCCCACTCTGTTATTGGAACTGGGATCTCCTGCCTGCCATTGTTATTAATGTTATTGTTATTACTATCATTATAATTATTATTATTACGATGATGATTGTTATCTTTATTGTCATAATCTTTTTCTTATTCATCATCATAAACATTATCATTATCTTTATTATCATAATCTTCTTCTCATTCATCATCATAAACATTTCATTATCTTTATTATCATAATCTTCTTCTCATTCATCATCATAAACATTTCATTATCTTTATTATCATAATCTTCTTCTCATTCATCATCAATATTACTATCACCATTATCTCTATTATCATAATCTTCATCTTATTCATCATAAACATCATCATCATTATCATCATCTTCCCCACAACTCACTGGAGGAGAGGATCTCCGAGGCCTGGTTGACTCGGTCCACAAAGTTGGGATCCTCGCTGTTCTGAGCCTCCATCTCTGCCACCTGCAGCACGCGGTCAGCCCGTCGGGCAATGTTGGACGCACCGGTGGCGATCTGTGGCGAGTTGCGGGCGCGAATACCCTCCTCGATCCTCTCTGTGTCCCTGAGGATGCCCTCCTCTGAGAGAGAACAAAGTAGAGCACGGAGATATAAAAATTGCAGCCATGAATAAAATAAAATAAAATGAACTGAAATAATTAAATATAATCAAAGAAAAAAACAATTTTTTTCAAATAAACAAAATAAAATAAAATGAAATAAGACACTTCTTTATCATATTTTGCACGCTACAACCAAGAGTAAAATAAGGGAAGAGGGTCCTTGATCTGCTTGTGTGAGTGTGCACGACATGTGCTTTGAGGATGCGTGTTTTGAGTTTGAGTAAAGAGAAGCACAGAAAAACAGTGATGGTCACATAGCGCAGGTAAGAAGCGAGACAGACAGACAGACAGACAGACAGACAGACAGACAGACAGACAGACAGACAGACAGAAACAACAGAGGGGAAGAAAAGAAGTAGGACCTATCAGTGGACGGCCTAACCACCCGCAACACAAACCACAAAAAACCTGTGTACACAAACCTTCTGAACAAACAAACCACAGAAATACCCCTGTGCATAAACCTTCTGTAAAAATACAAATCACCAAAAAAAAAAACCGTAGGCACAAATCTGTACAAACACAAAAGTACCCATGAGCACAATCTTTCAATACAAACACAAACCACAAAAAAAGACCCGGGTACACAAACTTTCAGTACAAACGAAAAAACAAAACACAAGAGTACACAAACCTTCGGTACAAACACTTACTTTACTCTTACTTTCATCCGTCGCTTCTACCCTTTTGGGTGTCGAGCGGAGGAAAGAGACACAAACCCAATCCCAAATAACTCCCATGTACACAAACCTTCGGTACAAAAACAAACCACAAAAAAAACCTCATGTGTACACAAACCTTCGGTACAAACACTTACTTTACTTTTACTTTCATCCACCGCAAATACACTTTTAGGTGTCGCGGGAAGAAAGAGACACAAAACAAATCCCCAAAAATAACTCCCATGTACACAAACCTTCAGTACAAACACAACCCACCAAAAAAAAAACCCTTGTGTACACAAACCTCTGGTACAAACATAAACCACAAAATACCCTGTTTTGTACACTAACCACAAAATACCGTTTTGTACACTAACCACAAAAATACCAATGTACACAAACCTCTGGTACAAGCATAAACCACAAAATACCCTGTTTTGTACACTAACCACAAAATACCAATGTACACAAACCTCTGGTACAAACACAAACCACAAAATACCCTGTTTTGTACACTAACCACAAAATACCCTGTTTTGTACACTAACCACAAAATACCCTGTTTTGTACACTAACCACAAAAATACCAATGTACACAAACCTTCGGTACAAACACAAACCACAAAAAAAAAACCTTCAGTGTGCACAAACCTTCGGCCCGGATGAGAGCCTCCGAGTCCACAGCCTCATCCACGAGGGATCGCAGACGGTCCATGTTGTCCGACCACTGCTTCTTAAGCAGGTCAAAGTGCTCCACGGCCGCCTGGTTGTTGGGGTTGGAGAAGAGCACGCGGGCCGCGTTGATCACCTGGGGCGTCAAGTCGTTGATCTGGGGAAATGAAATGGTATAGGTTTAATTACTTTTTACTTTTTCATCCTCTGTTGCCGTTAAGAGTCGAGGGGAGATGCAGTTTTCTATGGTAGGCCAGCTCCGCAGCTCTTTCAGTCGTGATTTTATGTTTTCATAGGGTATCCTTGACACCCTCGATCCACCTTTTGCTTGGCCTTCCTCTTCCTTTATAGCCTATAGGTTTAATCATGAGTTAAAAATAATCAGGAAATGACAGATGCAGTTTTGGGGACCCCTGAATAGACATAAAGGTCATGAACATCTAGCTCTCACTGGCAAAATTGAAGGCAAATGAGGCAGGGGTAGGCCCAGAGAAGTTTTATGCCTCTATCAACACTGTTAGGTTATTTAAGAGGAGGGACCTCCGAGTTTAACATCCATCTCCGAAAGGACCAAGCCAAATGGGAATTTTGTGTACAGTCATCAGGCTACTAACGCCACTTGTTGCTCTCTGGGGGAGGGGGGACAGCAGCATAACGTTATCCTCATCTTTTGTTTGTTTGAGTTTATAGTGGAACAATAACACTATATCCTATTTTATTTGTCTGTTTCTTGGTTTGCTTAAGTGTTTCGTCAAACACCAACATAACACAGAGATTTTTTATATTTTTTCAAAAGTAGGTGATCCTTGGAACAACAACACAACAGCATCTTTTATTTGTTTGTTAGTTTCTTTGTTTCTTTGTTTTCTTGTTTGTTTGTCGGTTTGTTTGATCACTTTTAGTTAAAGTTTGATGGTAGTTGGAATGCTAATAAGTCATATAAATGTCAAAGATAGTAACAACGAAATAGAGAAGGGGGGAGAGATAAAGACAGTAGAAGTTTGAAAAGAAAGAAGGGGCAAACCACAATGAGACATCCACTAACCCCACCACAGCCACTTTATACAGCAGACTTCAAGCATAAAACATGTCCATAGGGAGAAAAATCTCACGTGTGCAAGTTGCATGTTAAAGACCCCTTACTGGTCCAAAATCGATTTAAAAAATAGGCTTCAGCCACCACCCGGGCAAATTCAAAATTTTTCTACCAAGTGAAAACGTTTGACATGTTCCACACAATCATGACCATATGCAGTTGTGAACGCCAGAAAACACTTACCAAAAAAAAAAAAAAAAAAAATACATTTCGCACCCGCCATCAACAAACCCTCACCTGGTTGGAGTTCTTGAAGATGGCCTCCACCGTCTGCTTGTTGCGACATCCGCCCGCGGTGGCCACCGAGTTTGCGGTGTCTGCCAGGCGGTTGGAGTGGTCCTGGAACTGGCGAACCTTGGCCTCGAAGTTGTCCTCGCGACCGGGGGCACCTGAGTGCAACAGCATGAGAGGAACCAGAACATGTTGTTACATTGAATAATAAAGAAGAAGAAGAAGAAGAAGAAGAAGAAGAAGAAGAAGAAGAAAAAGAAGAAGAGGAAGAGGAAGAGGAAGAGGAAGAGGAAGAGGAAGAGGAAGAGGAGGAAGAAGAAGAAGAAGAAGAAGAAGAAGTAATAATAATAGTAATAACGATAATAATAATAATGATAATAATAATAAATAATCATCATCATCATAATCATGCACAAAAAAGAACACAAATAATTTTCGAATTCTAAAAAAAAGTGTTTCAGAAAGAATGTTTTACAATTTTCAAGACCTGAAAAACATCGTGTATAAAAACCATCACCACATATAAGAATGTTCAAAAACTGAAGAACACCACATAAGAATTTTCTAAAAATTATTTTTTTAAACAGATATAAGAAAAAAAATTCCAAAAACTAAAAAAAACATTTCGCCATTTTCAAAACCTAAAAATTCTGTTTAAGAATGTTCAAAACCAAAAGAACGCAACAAACATTTCCGAACCACCACATCATCGGTGCGGCACTCACCAAGGGGCACAACCGCGGCCTCGCTGAGCTGTTTGAGCGGCGTGGTGGTGTCGATGAAGTCCTCCGCCACCTGGCTCACCAGAGCCTCCTGGATCTTGGCCTTGAGAGACGCGAGCTTCTCCGACAGGTTGCGGGCGATGGCTCGGGCCTGCGGGCCGTTACCCTGTGGGGTTAAACGAAGGTTTTTTTTTACGTTGAATTTTTTTAAGTTTTACAGTACTTGAAATACCATACTAGGTCAATTAAGTTTTAAAGATTAGATGTGTTGGGTCACATAAGTTTTAGTAAGAATTTTACAGCACTTGAAATACCACATTAGGTCATATAAGTTTGAGTTATAATTTTACAGCATTTGAAATACCACATTAGGTCATATAAGTTTGAGTTATAATTTTACAGCATTTGAAATACAATATGTTGTTTAGTCCATTTTTTAAGAGTTAGTTCAGTTTACATAACACCGCAGAAAGTGGACCCAGTGGCAACCGTCTACCACCCACAGTGGATCGTTACTACTGTTACCACGGCAACCATCTACCACCCAGAGGATCGTTACTATTGTTACCATGGCAACCATCCACGGTAACCATCTACCACCCACCATGGACCATTACTACAGTTACTATGCCAACCATCCGAAACCCACAGTGGACCGTTACTACGATAACCATCTACCACCCACAGCGCACCGTTACTACGGCAACCATCTACCACCCACAGTGGACCATTACTATGGTAACCATCTACCACCCACAGTGGACCGTTACTATGGTAACCATCTACCACCCACAGTGGACCGTTACTATGGTAACCATCTACAACTTACAGTGGACTGTTACTATGGTAACCATCTACAACTTACAGTGTACCGTTTCTACAGTTACTACTACAACCAACTACCACCAACAGTGTACCGTTTCTACAGTTACTACGACAACCATCTACCACCCACAGTAGACCGCTACTACTTTTACCATGGCAACCATCTACCATCCACAGTGGACCGTTACTAAGGTAACCATCTACCACGCACAGTGAACCGTTACCACGGTAGCCATCTACCACCCACAATGGACCGTTACTACAGCAACCATCTACCACCCACAGTGTACCGTTTCAACTGTTACTACGCCAACCATCCAGCACCCACAGTGGACCGTTACCACGGCGACCATCTACCACCCACCTGGCCCCTCTTGCATAGATCCGACAGCTGATTGGTGAGTATCTCTGCCTCATCGCACAGTCGCAGGAGCTCCTGTCTCTGGGGGCCGGTGCAGCAGTTGGCCACTTTACGGCCCTCGTTCACCACCATGCGGGTGGCCGCCTCGCCTGTCGGGGGAGGGGGGGAGGGGGGGAGAAGGTGGAGAGGGGGGGGGGAGCAAAACAAGCGTAGAAATGTCATGTGAGACGTGCTGGCAAAATGAGTTGCTTCTCGCAATCCACAAAGAGAGATGTTGGCCAAAATTCGACACTATCTCATCTCATCTCATCTCAACTCATCTTATCTCTCATCCCATCATATCTCATCTCATCTCACTGACCAAGTCCCTTTTCTTATCTCATCCCATCATATCTTATCTCAACTCATCTCATATCTCATCATCTAATCTCATAATATATCATCTCACTTACCAAGCCCCTTATCTCATCTCATTTCTCATATATCATCTCACTGACCAAGTCCCTTTTCTTATATCATATTATATTATATCACTGACCAAGTATCTTATCTCATCTCATCTCTCATCTCATATCTCATATATCATCTCATTGAGTCCCTTTTCTCCTCTCATATTATATCACTGACCAAGTCCTTTATCTCATCGCATATCTCAAATATCATCTCCCTGACTGAGTCCCTTTTCTCATCTCATATTATATTATATCACTGACCAAATCCCTTATCTCATCTCATATCTCATCTAATCATCTCATATCCTATCTCACTGACCGAGCCCCTTGTCGTCCATCCCTGGGTTGGCCAGCCACTGACGGGCCTGCTCCACCTTGCCGTCCACCGTGGGTGCGGGTTTGCGGATGCCCGATCGCTCTGTGTTGGCGATGCCCTGCGCCGTCTGCTGCTGTAGCTCCCGCAGCTTGTCCTGGATGCCGCGCGCCAGCGACATGGCCTGTGGACTGTTGCCCTGGCGAGGGGAAAAAGTACAACAGTTTACGGTTAGGCTCAGTAAGTGTTTTACGGTGCTCGCAACTACTGTTGCGCTATCAAAAAAAAAACTGCTGTTGCACTGAAAAGGATTAAAAAGTACAATAGTTTACAGTTTGCCTGTTGGAGTTTTACAGTAATCGCAAATGCTGTTGCTCTGGCGAGGAGAAAAAAGTACAACGGTTTACGGTTTGATTGTTGCTGTTTTATGATAATCGCAGCTGCTGTTCCCTGGTGAGGAAAAAAAGTACAACAGTTCGTGGTTAGGTTGAAGAAGAGTTTTATTACAGCACTTGCAACACAAACACGTTATATAGGTGATGAAGACCGGGTTGGCCCTGATATAAATTGTGTCAAAAAGACATAAAAATATCATCATATAATCTTTTTTTTTTTTTTAATAGGAAAAAAAGCCACAAAAACAAAAACAAAGCCACCCAGACCCTTAACTTGTCCCCAAAAAGAAAAAGAAAAAAGAACAAACTAACAGATAAATCCTCCAGATCTTACTTGCCCCCACCTCATCCCACCCAAAAATTTAAAAAAAAACAACCTCCAACTGCTTACCTTGCCCTGCTGCCTGAGCTCCGACAAAGCGTTGACCATACTCTCCACATCCCCGGCACTGCGTAGAATCATGTCGCGGTCGGCCGGGTTGGTGCAGCGCTCAGCAATCTTGCGCGAGTCGTCGATGATCTGTCGGAGGGCCTTGTCACCTGCACGCCAGCCACGTCAAAATAGTTTTATTATTGTTTTATTGAAACAAGTGAACTTTTCTGATCAATTAAATAAATATATCAGTAAAACTGGGGGGGGGGAGAAAGAAAGAGACAGGGGAGAAAGAAAGAGACAGACAGACAGACAGACAGACAGACAGACAGACAGACAGACAGACAGACAGACACAGAGACAGACACAGCGAGAAAGACAGAAAGACAGAAAGAGAGAAAAATAGAAAGAGGGAAAGAGAGAAAAAGAAAAAGAGAAAGGATCACAATTTGAGCTATATCATTTCATTTGTGCTTTGTAATGCCTTATTGAGCATTTTCCTGGTAGTATGTGATATATAAACGTAACTTTTATTATTACTATTATTTTTCTTAACTTATGCTTTGTTTGTTAAAGGTAAAATAAGCACATGGACACACCAGCGTTCATTTAATTACAGTTGGTCTCTCAAGAGCTGATGATGACCTTTATTATCCACAAAGGAAGAGAAGTTACAGACCAGACGTTACCAGCTGCCACACTCATTTCATGCATGGATAAAGCAACACAGACAGACAGAAACAACAGCAGAGAAAAGAAGCAGGACCTACAGGTGGCGCCCTCCAACATCTTTCTTTAGATAATTGGATTTTCTAAAACCCTAAGTTTCAACTTACTGTAAAGCATCAAATAATTCATGTCAGTAAATGGTGTAAAAATTCTCAACAAAGACAGACAAGTGCGTGAAATATCGACGTGAAATATCAACATGAAATTTGAGCAGATGTGGTCTGTGACAATTCGTTAGTCAACAGTTTTCTCAGCCTCTCCTGCAAAACAGGCTTCGTGGTAGGCAGCCCATCTGTGCCCCGACACCATTGCAATGTCATCCGAGTTATCATTACTATTAAGACGTTTTGTTACAACTCAGGAAGAAAACTCGCACGCACACCAGAGGCACGGAAATACTTTTTTTTTTCGTAAGAGTTTTACAGCACTTACAACACAATAAGGTCATATTAGTGTCGATGAATAGATGTGTTACAAGAGAGTAACATACACAAAAAACATGGAGAGATTAGGACGATAGATGTTTGATAGGAAAGAAGGAGCATTCCACACAAGAGCACCCACCAACCACCCACACACTGACATACACACTACAAGATAACAGAATGTGTCGCTGTGAGCAACGCAAGTTTTCTTTTCAAAATATTACACACTTCCAATTCTAGCTTTGAACATAAACACATATTTGTTTGTTAAAATAAGGCGTTTAAATGTAGGTGTTTTTACGCTCCTATCCACACAATTTAGATCATTTAGCAGGTGGACTTCCGACCCTTTCTACCAAATATTCATTTCTTTATTTCTTTATTTGTTTCTTTCTTTCTTTCTTTTTTCTTTTTTTTGAGTAAAGACAAGCAAATCAACACGACATACAAATTGAGGGAAACTGGAAACTAAAGGAGGGACAAAGCATACCACGTTCAAAAATACCATTAATGAAACTCAGCAGAAAACCAATTTAGACGAAATTATAGAGATGGGTTAAGGACAAAAGACAACGATATTGGTCGCAAGAGACTTAAACCACAACGAGTTAGCAGAGCATCTACGATCAGGAAAGAATTTTAGACGCATGTGAAAGGGGAAGGAACTGACAATCCCCGAGCTATAAATCGTGTGTGTACATTTTCATAAGTGTCTCCTAGCTCACAAAATTGAAATCCCAATAAATTTTTTTTTTAAGTCTGATGAAAACACGACAACAGCAACAAAATTGGCTCGTGAATACGTAATCACACAAAATAAATTCTTTTTTTAAACAGCAACATAAAAAAGTGTTTTACAAAAATGACAATACGTCCACACAAAAAAAATGCAGGGGGAAAGGGGCATGGGAGGGGAGATTTTGTTCACTACACGTCGTTGTTAGGTGTCAAGACAGCACACTGGGTAAAGATTAGAAAGCCTTCGTGGAAACAAATTCCAGTTGACCACAAAGAAAGGTCTCCTTCAACAGTTTGGATTATTATTATTATTTATTAAGAACCTTCCATTATTAAATAACCGGCTACTTTTTTTTTCCAGCGCTTTAGTTTTAGTAAGAGTTTTTAGTTTAGTTTTAGCAAGAGTTTTACGGCATTTGCAACACAATAAGGTCATATAAGTGCCGAAGATTAGAGGTGTTACAAGAGAGTAACAAACACAAAAGAAGGAGGAGAGATAAAGACGATAGATGTTTGATAGGAAAGAAGGAGGAGAGATAAAGACGATAGATGTTTGATAGGAAAGAAGGAGGAGAGATAAAGACGATAGATGTTTGATAGGAGAGAAGGAGGAGAGATCAGGACGATAGATGTTTGATAGGAGAGAAGGAGGAGAGATAAGGACGATAGATGTTTGATAGGAAAGAAGGAGGAGAGATCAGGGCGATACATGTTTGATAGGAGAGAAGGAGGAGAGATAAGGACGATAGATGTTTGATAGGAAAGAAGGAGGAGAGATAAGGACGATAGATGTTTGATAGGAAAGAAGGAGAAAGGAGGAGAGACAAGAATGATAGATGTTTGATAGGAGAGAAGGAGGGGAGATAAGGACGATAGATGTTTGATAGGAAAGAAGGAGGAGAGATCAGGATGACAGATGTTTGATAGGAAGGAAGGAGCAAACCACACCAGAGCACCGACCAACCACCCACAGGGTAAGGTCGCCTTCAACAGTTTGATTATTATTATTATTAAGAACCTTCCATTATTAGTAAAAACTGGCTACTTTTTTTTTTCAGTGTCAGTATTGTATCAGTGAACTTTAATTCTTAGAGATCAAACATTTACAGAGCCCGCACTCATAAAAGTTGTCAGCAGATAGACTCTGAAAAGAACCCAGATAATAAGTTACTAGTGGATAACTACACAATCATAGCTGCCTACTTCTCAAAACAAAAAGATACTCTACCCACGCTGCGGATCACAATGGTGGACATTGGCCGGTAACCCCACTTCAAACCCTTCACACACGTTTCTACACTCAATAAATTCAAGTTGTACAAAAAAGACCTGCAGCACAAGATCTCTCCATTTGACCCTTGGACTTTGTTCTCATTATTATTTACAAATCCCTCCTTTAAAGTTCATAATTTTTCTTCAGCTTCGGCAAATTCATGAGGAACAACGCTAGAAAACAGAATATATATTTTCGGCAAATACAAAAACAGACTTTCGTACTCAGAGCGTCAAAAACGTATTAAATGTTAGTCAACGTACTGATTGGCAGCTATGCTAGGGACACTTGAGGTTAGAAGAGAAATAGGAGCTTGTTGTGCATCAGCTGTGTCATTATTTTTACAGGGAGGTTCATGTAGCAAAATACAGCCACAGCAATCACAACTAACCCTTTACAAACAGACAAGTCGTCATTTGTAATTTGTTGTTAACCCATTAACCCCCTGCTAAAACCTTTCGCTAAAATCTGGCTGGCCTTTTGCCGAGCAGCAAAAGTAGAGGCGAGAACTCTTTGTCATAGCCACCAGAAGTAAGGATAAATTATTTGTCATAGCCCCAAGGAGTAAGGATAAATCATTAGTCATAGCCCCAGGAGTGAAGATAAATTATTAGTCATAGCCTCCAGGAGGGAAGATAAATTATTTGTCATAGCCACCGGGAATGAAGGCGAATTATGATGAGGGTTGAGGTGAAATCTAGTAAAAGGTCGGAACAAAGGAACCAATAGCAGAACAGGGTCAGGGGTCAATCTTACCTACATTCTCTGTAGAATTCATTAAAGTTGCACACTGCATTTGAAAGCTTTCGATTCAGGTGACAAGGTTATAACTTTGTATGTAACAATAATATAACACGCTGAGTCAGCGGTGAACACAAGAAGACAGCAACAGCATTCAGGACAAGTATAAGCGGCGAAACATCAACTTCTAAAAGGCAAAAATAGATGAAAAATGTCTTAAACCACAGAAAGAAACAGCTGCTTAAGTTTAAAGACACTTTCTTTTCTGTACCATCATCATCATCACTGGATCAGGGTTGAAACCATCGACAAACATCGCGTCCATCACTTAAGGGTTTTTCTCCTTTTTTTTTTTTTAAGTATGAGTTTTACGGCACTTGCAACACAATAAAGTCATATAACTGCCGAAGATTCGAGGCGTTACAAGAGAGCAACAAACAAAAAAAAAGGAGGAGAGATAAGGACGATAGATGTTTGATAGGAAAGAAGGAGCAAACCACACCAGAGCACCCACCAACCACCCACAAGGGGGTTTTTCATCTCCCTGCTGGCGGTATTTACACGTCAGGGGACGTTACTCTTAGACTCACCGAGGCTTCCAACCAGAGCAGCCGGATCGGCAAGCCAGTCGTGGGCAGGCTTCATCTTGCCCTCAATAGCGTTCTGGAAAAAAATGTCAGAGGACACAATATTATTTTGTCAGCCAGCTGTTAAAAAAGTGTTAAGCTTAAATTTATTTTTTTGAAACTGCAGTTTATTAACAATTTGCGGTCACTTGCCGCAATGATGCGACGGTGAAAATTATCTGTTCCCATCACTTGACGCAGTTCTGTAACAGGCCCGACAAGTCCATTGCAGTCACTCTCCTGGCTGGGTGACCAGAAGGGGTATTTTGAACTGCTGGCTGTGTGACTGCAAAGTGTTCATCTGTGATATCGCTTGCATGTGCTCAAAAAATATTTTTTCAAAATTCAAATTCTAAATGGTCGCTTTTGAGGACGAGCAGGCTAACCCAGATTTCGAGGGTTTCCAGAATTCTTGACCTACACCAAAAGTAGGCATTTCCCTACCTATAAGAAAAGTTTGGTTTCATTGGTGTGTATATTTGTATGGTTATAGAGAAAACTCTCCTTGTCTTTTAACTCATTCGCTACGTACTATTTTCGGCTTGTGGACGAATTTTTTCGGGAGGGCGAATGAGAAGATGACTAGTGCGCAGTAAAAAGGTCTTTGGGGCCACAAATTCAAATAAATATCAACGTATTTTATACCAATATTTTCAGTATGGTTTTGTAGAATACATCTGTAATGTTTATTTATGTATTTTTCAACTTTGGTTCCTGTAAGAGGCGATTATGCAATACAATTTTGATTGGATGCAGATAAAATTTGAAAATAAAAAATTAATAATCTTTGGTGAAACTCAAAAAATATGTTTACACCTAGTCAAATGATACATCAAAATAACCATAAATGAATATAGAACTGGAAAATATTGAAAAGTTTCCAGTTATTTACATAGATTCCATAATATTTGTACATTTGGATCTTAACATCCGATATTGGAAAAAAAAAAATTTATAATCTTGAAAAACGATTACAAACAGAAAAAAAAACCACTCGTATCTTATATGGAATTATTCAGAATTGCATTTGGAATAAATCTATACATGTCTTGAGTGGCACTTTTTGTGTAATTTCATCAAAAAGTAGTGATTTTGGGGAGAAAAAAATATTTTGACAATTTAGATCTAGCAACCTAGATCTAGCACTCAAAAATATTGATTTCTCAATAACAGTGCATTGGCAATATGAGTCCAATCGTATCAATATTATAAAAAAAGAGTCCAACATTTCTTTAGTGGGTAAAATAATGATAGATTTTGTTGTGTAAAATTACTAAGACTGGTGTCCGGGCTATAATTTTGGCATCGCCATAAAACAAAGTCGAATAAACTACGAAATCGCGTTTCAAAACAGAATCTAAACTTCCAATTTTCAGTGGAAATGCTTGACCCGTAAGTCAACATTATATTATGACCTTTATTTTAACATGGAAATGCGGATTGGAATAGAATCTAAGCTAAAATTGAAGATTGGTTCTCGAGCTGCCGGGGGCGGCTTAGCGTACTGACGGCACGGCACTTTAGCCGCGCCGCCCCTCACGGCTCGGCGTAGCGAATGAGTTAAAGAAACTGAACAAGGGGCAAAAACTTTACCTTCAAATTTCTCAAAACAGCATTTTTTCGGGATTGCCCCTTTGTGCTTAAAAGCAACCAAATATTGAAAAGAGTAAGAAAAAAAAAAGAAAAAAAAAGTAGGTACAATTAATTGCTTTTAAAAATGGAAGAGCTTTTTCTCTCTCCTGAAAACACCAGTCCCTGATTGACCCACCTGTGCCTTCTTCATGACGGTCAGGTCGTCAGCGTCCCATTCCTCCTCGTCGTACGTGGTCAGCTGCAGCACGCGGATAATCTCGTGGATCTCGTCCGACATCTTGCGCACCGTGTAGTCGCGGTTGTTCTGGGCTTCCTTCAGACCTTGGCCTGCAACACACACACACACACAGGGGGAGGGGGGGGGGGGGGTAAAGCAGCGTTCACATCACGCACATACACTTGTTTGTTTCTTTCCGTCTGTCTGTCTGTCTGTTTGTTTGTTTGAGTAGGGAAAAGCACATCGACACAACCATCATGGTCGTCTAGTGCCAAGAAAAAGTAAAAGACAGACAGACAGACAGACAAACAGAAACAAAAGAAGGAAAGTAGAGAAATAGGACTTACCAGTGGCACCCTCCAACCATTCCCCCACAGTGCACATTTTTGACAGTCAAACAATATGTTCCAACACCGACAATACATACACACATATATACGCATTTTTGACACACAGAATACTTGCTCAACAACGCATGGCACAAACACATTCTAAACCTTAGTTTTTGTAAGAGTTTTACAACACTTGCAACACAAACAGGGTACATGAGTGCTGAAGATTAGAGTGGTACTATACATGTAGTTAGTTTAGTTTTAGTAAGAGTTTTACGGCACTCGCAACTGCATAAGGTCATATGAGCGCCAGAAGATTAGAGGTGTTACAGGAGAGTAACAAACAGAAAAAAGAAGAAGGGGAGATAAGGACGATAGATGTTTGATAGGACAAAAGGAGCAAACCACACCAGAGCACCCGCCAACCACCCATTCTATACTATACATGTAGAGTCACATATACACAGAAAAGGAAAAGGTATAAACGTTTGATAGGAAAGAAGGAGTAAGCTACCGCAAAGCACCTGCCAACCATCCACTATCTCCAACCTTCACAACTTTGAAAGAAGAAGAAAAATAAGGAGAAGAAGAAGTTCAACAACAACAGCAGCAGCAGCAGCAGCAACAGAACAACAACAGCAACAGAACAACAACAGCAACAGAACAACAGCAACAACAACAGCAACAGAACAACAACAGCAACAGAACAACAGCAACAGCAACAACAGTAACAGAACAACAACAACAGCAACAGAACAACAGCAACAACAACAACAGCAACAGCAACAGAACAACAGCAACAACAGCAACAGAACAACAGCAACAACAACAACAGCAACAGAACAACAACAACAACAGCAACAGAACAACAACAGCAACAACAGAACAACAACAGCAACAGAACAACAGCAACAACAACAACAGCAACAGAACAACAACAACAACAGCAACAGCAACAGAACAACAGCAACAACAGCAACAGAACAACAACAACAACAACAGAACAACAACAACAACAGCAACAAAACAACAACAACAACAACAACAACAACCACCAACAACAACAACAACACCATCACCATCACCAACAACAACAACAGCGCGCATGCCCCTACCCGACTGGCCGGCGGTGATGAAGATCTTGATGCCGCTGATGAGCACAGGGGTGAGCACCTTGACCTGCTCCAGCGAGCGCACCAGCATGTCGCGGTGCACCTGATGGGTCAGCTCCTTCTCCCGGTTGTCCACCTCTTTGGTCATCTTGGTCAGCACCGGGCTCAGGTTCTGAGGGAGGCACAATTCAGCCCATTCAGTCCATCAGAGTTTTATCACATCAGAGTTTTATCACATCAGAGTTTTATCACATCAGAGTTTTATCACATCTTTATCACATCAGAGTTTTACCACATCTTTACCACATCAGAGTTTTATTACATCAGAGTTTCGCAGCACTTGCAACACAGTAGTTGGATCAAATAAGAATAATAAGTGCCGAAGGTTAGAGGTGTTACAAGTCAAGAAAGTAATAAACACAACAAGTTTTGTGTTGAGATGAACTTTGAAGGTTGAGTAAAGAGCCTAAAGCTGTATTGCAGAAATTATCTGCATTATAAACATCATCATCATCATCATATTATTTTTATTATCATTATTGTTAAAATGAGTATTATTATTATTTACAAGCATAGAAAACAACTTAACTGAGGCACACACAAAGAGGAGCACCAGTGAGTGCCATATACAACTGCCCAAAGCTGCCAATTTTTGTAAAAGACAGGAGGAAGGAGGAACAAATAAATCAAAATTCAATAAAAGAAAAGTGCGAATGAAAAATGGTCAAATATCAGTAACTATAAAGCGAGAGCACGACAACAGTGAAATAAACGCCTGTGGCAAAAAACAACAACATTGTACATACTTTTTTAAGTTTTAGTAAGAGTTTTACGGCACTTGCAACACAATAAGGTCAAATAAGCGCTGAAGATTAGAAGTGTCACAAGAAAGTAACAAACACAAAAAAGAAGGAGGGGAGATCAGGACGATAGATGTTTGATAGGAAAGAAGGAGCAAACCACACCAGAACACCCACCAACCAACCACGCACGTACTTTGACAAAAGTGACCAGGTCTTCCATCCTGTCGACAACTTCTGTGATGGCCAGATACTCCAACACACTCTTGCACACGCGGATAATCTTCCGAACTTCTGACTCGTCAAATGCCAGGAGTAGAGATGAGGTGCCCTGTAAGATTCCTGAGGGGAAAAACAAAGTTTAAGTTTTAGTAAGTGTTTTATGGCACTTGCAACACAATAAGGTCATATAAGTGCCAAATATTAGAGGTGTTACAAGAGAATAACAAACACAAAATAGAAGGAGGGGAGATAAAGATAATAGATGTTTGATAGGAAAGAAGAAGCAAACCACACCAGAGCACCCGCCAACCACCCATGGAAAAACAAAAAAACAAAAAAAGATTCAGTTCTTGGATACACTTTCTTTTTCTTTTCTTTTTTTTTTTTGTTTTAATACAAGTTTCATGGCACTTGCAACACAAATAGGCCATGTAAGTGCTGAAGATTGGAGGTGTTACAAGAAAGTAACAAACACAAAAAGGAAGGAGGAGAGATAAGGAGATAAGTATTTGATAGGAAAGAAGAACAAAACCACACCAGAGCACTTACAACATAAAATAAACTCTTTAAGACAAAGACCAACACTTACAATATTAACTCTTAAGACAAAAACCAACTCTTACAACATAAATTCTTACGGCAAAGACTAACTCTCACCTTAAGGCCTTAAAACAAAAACCTTCTCTTACAACATAACATAAACTCTTAAAAAGACAAAGATTTATGCATCACTTACAGCCCCACCCACCCACACGCCCATTCATACCCCATCCAACCATTTTCATCCACTCACACCCACCTATCCACTCATTCACACCCCATCTAACAACTTTCACCCCCCCCCCCCCCCCCCCCAAACAAGTTTATCAATTTTGGACCACTCGTCCAACCCCCAGCTTATATATGCTCTTCACCTTTATTTCTATAACCTTTTTTTTTAAATTATTATCTCCATTTTGTTTTTCCATTTCATTTTCTGCTTTTAATTTTTTTTTTTCCCCCATATATTTTCATGTTTTCTTTTTTGAAAAAAAAAAAATTGGGGGGTACAGCATACCTTGACCAAGTTATCCACAGCCAGCTTGACCACTTGCACCGGGTGGGCAAGGTCCGGCATGGCGTTTCCATCTTCTGCCTCTTCATGAAGGATAACCAGTCGGGAGACCTGAAGATGTCAGAGATTATATTCCATTTAAGACGACAGTCTTTATAAAAATCAAAATATTTTAAATATCATGATTTATCAAACTAAACATTTAAAATGCCCCGATTTATAAAAACAAAAAAATTTCAAATATATAACGATTTATATATTTAAAACATTCCATATACCATGATCATAAAATTTAAACTGTTTTAAAAACAGCAAGTTATAATAAACACGTAAAATTTCGAGAAACATTCATTCCAAGTCCTATGAATAGTCAAAACATTAAGATTCATACAAAAGCAGGCACAATAAAACTGGTAAGAGTGGCAGTTTAAAAGAAAACTGTCAGAATCATCTCCAAAGATGAACGCAAAATCAGACCATTATTATATATATAATATTATGATAAAATTAACTCCTTCGATCTACCAAAGGAAAAGACAGTCAAATTTAAAGGTCAAAATGAGAAAGAATCTTCACTTTCAAAAAGGAAATTATATTTTCACTAAATTTCATTCCCTTGGACAGGGAGTCTCAAGAGACACTAACCCAACACCTACATGACCTCCAGGGTTGGTGATTTTTTGATTTTTTAAAATAAAAATTTTAAAAATTGATTTTTTAAATTTAAATCAGATTTTTTAATTTTTTTTTAAATTTTTTTTTAAAATGTCGACACAGTTTGGGATTTTTGGTGGCTAAAAGTATGTTCTTTTAGTGCAGAATGCATTGTCTTTATTTTAACTAATGATTAATATAAGCATCTGCGAAAGAAAGCCTTAATCTGCTATTATCAGTGAATTATGGCTACAGACAAAAAATGAAGAAAATGTCAGTCTAAAATGAAAGGGGGGGAGGGGGTAATTATGCATAGACAAACTTGTATTTTATTACAGTGTGCATGTGTGTGTGTGCACGCTTGTGTTTGTCTAAAAAGAAAAAGAAAATGCTAATTTCAATTATGAAAAAAAAGTAAATTGAATACTGTATTAATTTACTACTTACAGTGACAGGGGGGAAAGCAGACTTTTAAGCATGATTATATTAGTCTACTAAACCTTATATCTGTTTTATAAAACCAAGGAAAGGAATTCTGAATGTTTAAAGACGTAAAAACAATACATTTTTTAAAAGTGATTTAAATCACTGAGGTTTATTTTTAAAATCAAGTTGATTTAAATTTTGAAAAATCAACTGATTTAAATCGACGTGATTTAAATCAACCCAACCCTGGTTTTCAATTATGAAAAGAAAGAAAATTGAATACTGTATTATTTTACAGTGACAGGGGGGAAAGCAGACTTTTAAGCATGATTATATTAGTCTACTAAACCTTTTATATCTGTTTTATGAAACCAAGGAAAGGAATTCTGAATGTTTAAATATGTAAAAACAGAATATATTATTTTTAAAGTGATTTAAATCACAAAATCAAGTTGATTAAAATTTAAAAAATCAACTGATTTAAATTAACCCAGCTCTGATTTCAATTATGGGAAAAAAAGTAAATTGAATACTGTATTATTTTACAGTGAAAGGGGGGAAAGCAGACTTTTAAGCATGATTATATTAGTGTACTAAACCTTATATCTGTTTTATGAGACCTAGGAAAGGAATTCTGAATGTTGAAATATGTAAAAACTGAATAAAAATAAATGTTTTAAAAAGTGATTTAAATCACTGATTTTTATTTAAAAAATCAAGTTGATTTAAATCAAAAAAATCAACTGATTTAAATCAACCTGATTTAAATCAACCCAACCCTGATGACCTCCCTTTTCTCATTAAAGTGCCAGACCTGAGAGAGACATTGGCAGCGGGTTGTTGGAGGATGCTCTGGTGTGGTTTGCTTCTTTCGGCCTATCAAACAACAATTGTCCTTTTTATCTCTCCTCCTTCTTATTTTATTTGTTTGCTCTCTTGAAACACTTCTAATCTTCGGCACTTACAATCAAAACCTGTGTGTGTTGCAAAACGCAAGTGCCGTAAAACTTATACTAACTAAAACAAATAGACCTTGGCAATCATGTTTCACCACTTATTTCTCAACTACAGGACCTCAAACATGGACTTCTTCCTCCAGTCTAAACCACAGAGAATACCCTGTACTGCAGCAAATAACAAATGAGAGGCAGCGTGGTGAAATCAGGCGCTCATCAAAATAACGAAATCAGAGAAACAGGCATTTTTCCGTCAGTTTGGAAATTTTAATCAACTTTTTATTTTTTGGCTTAAAAACCTCTTCTATGTCCATATAAAAACACATTTCCATGTGAATTTTACTGAAAAACATTGATTAAAAGCTCAAAATATATGTCATTCTTAAGTTTTCAAAGACTCTTTAGATATTGGATTTATTAGAGTTACCAAACTTTGGCAGCCATTTTTCTTGCTAATGAAATGTCACCACAGAAACCAGGCGACCTCATTTATTTCAATCACAAATATCTTGAGTTCTAGACAAGATAAAAATAGATATTTATTTCATTGGAAGCAAGGCAAATAAATCGGCTTTTGGATGATACCACTAAGACCATGCCCAAATGAAAAAAAATAATTCCCATCTGTCTATTTGAATTAGAAGTCGAGACATATTGCTATTGAAATTGAAGGAAGTGGGGGTCACGAAATTAGCAAGAAAAAGGTCGCCAAAGTTAGGTGACCTCCAAAGCTGTAGTGACTTGTCATTGGACACTGCAAATTTACATATTTTGGCCATTTCATTCATCACTTCAACTGAACCATGAGTACCAGAATTCAAAAAGGCTAAAGGGCCATCTTTTTTACACTGACATCTATAGGCTATAGTGTGCTAAGAGGTAACCGTCCTTTTCTCTTAATAAAATACAAAATTGTTTAACAGCATATGTACAAATCTATTATTACACAGAATTTTGATAAACTTTTAAAATGCAGACACATTATCTTATTACACATTTTAATATATAGGCCGGCTCTATTTCTCCAAACGTTTTGGAACATAAACTTGAACTATATTTCTCCGAACGGTTTCCGTTCTCGAGACTTGTTGATAAGTGAAAGGAGTGGCCCGTGCCTGTGTGTGAGTGTGTGTGTGTGTGAATGTATGTGTGTGTGTGTGTGAGTGTGTGCGTGAGTGTCGGCGTGTGTGTAAGCTGTGAACGGGGGAGGCATGGGGGGGGGGGATTATTTTTTTTTACATGAAGGATTTTAGTTTTTGCTGGGTGACTAAATGCAAAATAGGTTACTGCCAAGGCCGATCAGTCTTGTTTTCTCGCAGTACCTTTTGAAGGTATTTTCAAACAAAGTATAGTTCGGGAACGTTGCCCCAACCACAACTGAAGTATCCGAATATTCAGACAATTAAAAATCTCTAGCTCTTGAAACTGAATTCGATGCACAAAAAAAAGGATGACGCCTAAATCACGCAAATAACCAAAAGATCTCGAGAACGGAAACCGTTCGGAGAAATAAAGTTCAACTTTATTTTCCTGAACGTTCTGAGAAATAGAAGTCACTTCGTTTAATATATATATATATTATATTGGGGAGGACTTCCGTAACGAGTGACCACTATGAGAAACAGCTGAATTGAGGGCTTGGGGTAGGGGTAGGGTTAGGGTTAGGGTTAGGGTTAGGGTTAGGGGTAGGGTTAGGGTTAGGTCTAGGCCTCTTCTTTATTGTGTTTGATGGGGGTGGTCGCTCGTTACGGAAGTCCTTCCTTATTGAATAATTACAAGAATCTACCTTAGTTGAATGGGAGTGTATACAGACCCGGTAACCGGGAACAAAGTCACAAAGTATACAGACCCGGTAGGGGAACTCTTTTGTGATTTCGGAAAGTTTCAGCTCCCTCTTGGCTCAGGGCAAACCTAGGTTCTTCTAGATATTTATGGCCTAGGTCTAGATCTAGATCTAGGCAGACGAACATAAATCTTTGATCTAGTTTCGAGGCTAGCCTAAATCGATCTAGATCTAGATCTAGATATCTAGATATCCAAATGAAGATTGCGGATGTCTTTTCGATGAACGATCGTTTTTCCTCCGTTTTGGAGTTGGAGGAATCACAATTTGAAGAAAAGAACAATGTCATAATTTTAATCGAGCAGCCACCCTCTCTATTTCTCTGCCCCTCTCTCTCTCTCTCTCTCCTCTGTGTATCGCTCGCCTTCTCTCTTTCTTTCTTTGTCTCTGTCTTTCCCTATTTCCCACTTTATCTTTCTCTCGTTCCCTCCTGCCAACTGGGGCATGTCATACATTTTGCTAGCACCCCCACCCCCTCTCTCTCTCTGTCTCTCTCTGTCTGTCTCTCTCTGTCTCTCACACACACACACACACACACACACACACACACACACACACACACACACACTAGATTTCTACCGGGGCTGGGCGTTGAAACTTTCCGAAATCACAAAAGAGTTCCCCTACCGGGTCTGTATACTTCGTGACTTTGTTCCCGGTTACCGGGTCTGTATACACTTCGTAGTTGAATAATTACAAAATCTACATTACCCAACTTAATTTTAACTTTCTAGATGATGGATCAAGTCTTTAATTAATTAGGTGAAACATCTTGTCTGGCCAAACTGAACAGAACAAAACCAAGACATAACATTTTCTAGATCTAGATCTCTAGCAGTAGAAACCTAGAATCTACAGAGGAAAACATTTTTTTAAAAAGAAATTATGATCTTGATATCTAGAATCTAGATCTAGATCTAGATTCTAGATCTAGATCTAGAATCTAGATAATCTAGAATCTAGATCTGGATCTAGATATAGAGTCTAGATATAGAGATCTAGATCAGATCTAGAATCTAGATTATAGATCTAGAATCTAGTACAGACTTGGAATTTAGGCTCTATATTATAGGCCTAAAATATAAACAGCAACAGACTTCATCTGTGCTGTGTTTTTTTAGTTTTTATTAAAATTACATAAAAATGTAGGCTACGGGGGGGGGGGGGCCTCGGCTGTATTTTAGTCGTTTAGTAGTGTGTGCAATGATCTAGCTAACCATGCCATAACTGATTACGCCTACAAGACACAGCGTAGAGATAAATCTATGCCGGGTGAGTAATCCCGGTACCTCTGGGCTCGGCAATGCACTCCCCGTTTCCTGAACCAAGTTCTGAAAGTTCCACACTTGTGTGTGAGTAGGCTAGGTTCGGCCGAGCATTCGTCATTCGACGATGAACAAATGAAACAGAGAGACTGAAGACACAATAATAATTCAATCAAGGAACAACAATATTAAAGCAACTTCAGATCTTACCACAACGGTCAGGGGTAGATATTTTCACTTTCAGTCACAGGTGATTCAGTCTTACAGCGAAAGGGCAAGCGGGGTGTGAGCAGTGATAATCTTATTCTTACCTGTTGAGCGACAGGTTCCAAGATACTCTCTATCGTCTTCGTGTGGAAGACGGGCATCTTGGCTGTGCAGTAGTTGATCCACAAGCCTAGAAAGTGTTCGGCTTAAGTATCCCCAGCCGACTATAATAGGCAGTCCTGGGTGTGTCAAGAAACGAAATCTGCACACTTGACCAAGCCCAACTTCCCCTGTGTCGTTTTAAGTGCACAGGCGAATCGGTACCACACACACACATAAGTCATACAACAGCACATTCGACTCGGGAACGAGCGAAGCGAGAGGATTTCCGGTAGGCTAGGCTAGCTGCTGAGCGCACGAAAGCAGCGTAACTGGGTCAGAGGGAAGGGAGTGTGTTGGAAAAATCGTAACTCTTATAACTTTTGAGGTTGAAGAGAAGATTGCCTTTTACTGTCCCAAAAGTGATTGACATAAACAACACAATTGCTTTTAATAACAGGAAATGTATCATTAGGCTATCTCCTTTGTCTTCGTTCTTCAAAACGGCAACATTCCATATATGGAGAGCGAGTGTATGACCCTGGACCTAGACGATTTTTTAGGAGGGGGGAGAGGATCCAGTTTGAGTATGATATGAATGTTTTTTAAATAGCAGTCCAAACATATAAGATTTTACAAAATACTAACATTTGCACCTCTTGCTCCAGCTATCCTGGCCCTGACTTGTAGAGCTAGTTCTGTGCTAAAAAGATTCATTAGTAAGTATATGCACGGTACCACCCTCTCTATTAGACTCTTCCTAACATAAAAGTGTGGATTTGAAATAAGTCAGTAATCTACTTAGGTTTGTTTCTTTGGACATGGGGGGTTAATAATGCCTGGCCTACAATCATACCTTTTAGAATTATAGATCATGTATTTTTCTTTTATTACATGTCTGTTGTAACCGGGCTTCAATCATTGGCTGGTGAGACTGACTGAAGGTATCTGGAATCTGGAGGTGTCATCTCTGACATTGAGATTGACGTGCAATAACTATAACTATAATGACCAACCGATCACTATACATGCCGTTATACTGCTTACTAGTACTAGGCCTAGACTATATTATTATTATTATCATTATTATTATTATACCCTGTCATACTTAGGCTAGTCCTTGTTTTTGTGTTAACGGTCCACCTTCTTCTTTTTACACCCTTGGCCCTTTTTGTCACCCATGATCTTGCCTCAAGTTTTTCCTTCATAATGGTCTGGTGGCGTTTATATGATGACCATAATTATTCTTGTATACATGTAATAATTTATTTTTTTTTACACTTCAATTTGTTAAGTAAGGTTTGTCTTGTGTTGAGAATCGGACACACTTCATCTTGTTTGTATTTTTTGCTTTTCAGTTACTGCTGGCCCATCGCTATTTTACGTACGTAGCACCACATCTCAAACGCAGATACACGTATTTTGTTGGGGGGGGGGGGGTTCTTTATTTATTAGACTCCAAGTCTCGGAGCCGTTATCGGCCCTACAGGAAATGAGGAAGACGTGGCATTTCACCAATTTGTAGTTTAATGCATTCCTGAAACCAGATGATGATAATTAGGCGTTAAGCAATCAGAGAGTCCCACCTTTTTGAGACCGTGAACAAACTCGTGCGAGAACTTCAGTATTAATCACAAGCAGACGTAGAGCCCGTTTAAAAAACTTTTTACTTTTACTTTTATCCGCCGCTTATGCCCTTGTGTGTGTCGCGGGAAGAAAGAGACGTCTGTCTGCCATCAGCCGGACAGCTTTAAAAACCAAACACGGTTAATCCGAAAACAACAGTTATAATAAACCGAAAACTGAATAACTTTTCTGAACCGAAAAACCTGGCATAACCGAAAAAAATAAGGCAGCGGTCTCACAGATTTCGCTATCGTGGCCTAGAGGTTAAGGTGTAGCTTCTCATTTAAAAGGTCCCAGGTTCGAATCCGGGTAGAGCCGGAAAACATTGCCTCTTTAAAATTGTCTCATTTTACCCTTTTTCATGCTCTCTAGCAATGTTATGTCGTCTGCCTTTTGTCTACACTGTGTGCCCCCACCCCCTCACTTCCTTTGCCCCCTCCCCTGGGCTCCTGACTCTTTCTGCCCCCACCCCCTCACCTCCTTTGC